GCATCCGCCGTGACTTCATTTTGATCCAGTATGATCAGCCCTTGTCTGTATGTCACGCTCTGGCTGTGCTGCGCGACCTGCTGTGTAAGCTGCGGGTCGGTCCTGCGCCCTCTTCTTATGGCAACAAAGAATGCCCCAACGTGCGTCCCACTTGCTGACCAGCGGGCGTGCGGCCGGTGGCGCCGGCAGCGCAGGCGCCTCGCCCCAGCGCAGGCCGGCCAGGGGCCCAAGCAGCTGCCCAGGCACCCCGCCCTCCGCCCTGTTCGCTGGGCGAAAGCTAGGTCAGTGTGCATGTGCAGGTGTTCTACCTACCTAGGCAGAGGACCAACGACACGAGGGCGGGGGTTGCAAAAAACCCAACTATTTGTGTTTCTTGCCCACAGGCTGGAGGCGGCGGAGCGAAAGGGCCGCTCTCGCTAGTAGGTAGGGTGCCGCAGGGCAGCAAGCAGTCATTCAAATCTGACAAAGCGCTCCCGTGCCGCAGCCAATTGTCGAGCTGCGCAGGCCGATGCTGCGCAGGCCCTGCAGTGCGCCGACCCTGCACTCTGCGTCTGCACTTGGCGTAAGCAACGAGACCAATGCATCTGGAAGGCGGACGGAGTTGCGGTCTGAATCCACCGTCACCTACCAAACACATGCACATGCACAGGCCTGGATGAGGATGAGGATTATGAGTGTTACGTCCCGTGGTCGCCCGCTAGTGGAGCCATGCAGGCTCGAGGGATTAGGCTGTCAACCATCAATAATATGTGATCGAGGGGTTCAGGTGGGTACTGTGTGCCGCTCAAAGCAGGCCTGCCTAAAGCTCAAGTGCGTGCTGGTCTGCACTGCACACAACGGCACGAACGCGGGCGTGCGCAGAGGGCCACCCGTATCTGTTGTGCACGAATGTTTGGGCTAAATGAGGTGAGTGTGTGCACCGTCACTCAGGCGAGGTGCGAGAGGTGAGAAGTTGTCACGCCAACACACCCAGCTGCGGTGTGGTACTTTTATTGACCGGCACGCCCACATATCGCACTTGAAGAGGCGCCTGCCACTTGCGAAAAATAAACAAGGGTACCATTGCGGATAGCTGTGCACACCAGCGTTACGGGGCGGTGATTTCGCGATAGGGCGTGCAGGCGGACTGCATGTGGCCAGGAATATCGCAGCGACAGCCGCCACCGGGCACTTGGCCGCCAGGCGAGGGTGCGTTGCAGCCCCGGCGGCATGTGGCCAATACGAGGTTTTTCTTCACAGCGGTCTGAACCACCTCGTTTGCTCTGTCTCATATCGATGCGTGCACTGCTGCGAAGTGTTGGGAGGCACTGCAGCGCAAAATATCGACACCGCCATCGGCGGTGTGCTCAGCTTCGCACTGGCATGCGCTATCGATTGGGTGTCACAATCACCAGCGCCAATATCAGGTAATTCTTCGGTGTTTCCTTGGCTTTCATTTGCGCGCGTACTCCCAACGCGATTCGCCACATGTCACATCGGTGCCATCGAATGGTTGATACATTCACAAGTTGAAAATCCTCTTCGTATCCATTCGCAGAGCGGCGATCAACAAAAAGCATCCAATCAGAACGCACGCGATTTTTGGCGCACACACCACGGGCCTGACGCGATTACAGACGCGAGCAATAGCAAGACGGAAAAGCATGCTATCGTCGCTGACATGGACGGAGGCGTGAGCCCTCCGCGTGGCAGAGACCCTTCCCCGGCGCCCTGTGGCCTGGTGAGCGAACCCCCGGAGTCTTTTTGGCTGTATGATAGCTATGCTTTTGTGCGGTGAGATGCCGTGGGCATCGCCCGGGGCCGTGGGTGATGGGCTTCGAACTGGCCAGCGATCTCCCCTTGCCATTGCAGGGGGACGTTCAGGAGGGATTGGATACGGTGCAATCCCCGGACTACGTGCTGGTGCCCCCGAGCAGCGAGGGCGCGTGCGACGGGGAGACCGCCGGCGCGCCACCCGTCGCCGCCGCTGAGGCAGAGAGCGCGGGAGACGCGCGCGACCCTGGGGAGGAGAGTGCCTCTGCTGCCGACGCCGCCGACGGCCATGCGCGCGGCGGCGCCCAGCGCCGCGCGCCGGCGAAGCGGCGGCGCGCGGGTGCCGGCGCGGGCGGGACGGGGCGCCCGACGAAAGGCAGGGCCAAGTTGGGGCGGCCGGAAAACAACGAACCATGCCCCCGGTGCCACAGTGCGGACACCAAGTTCTGCTACTACAACAACTATAACGTGAAGCAGCCGCGGTTTTACTGCAAGGTGCGGTGGGGTCGGCGCTGCAACAGTGGGGGGCGGGCATGCCTCGCTTGGGCCACCGGTTGGTGCTGGTACGGTGCAGGTACGACACGAGTGCGCGCATGCGCGCGAACCACACAGGCGAGCACCTCAAACATGCAGCCATGCCATGAGACATTACAGGCGCGCCGCCGCTGCGTCTGAATCCGCTGAACCACATCGGGCGGCCGCCACCTGGCAATCTTGTGCGCACCGGATTCCCCAGGGATGCCAGCGCTACTGGACGGCGGGCGGCGAGCTCCGGAACCTGCCGGTGGGCGCGGGCCGCCGCAAGAGCAAAAACCGCGAGAAAGCGGCGCAGCAGCAGCAGCAGATGGCGCGCGCCAAGGCGCAGGTGAAGCAGCAGCAGCAACAGCAGCAACAGCAGCAGCAGCAGCTCAGGCAGGGGCCGCAGCACGAGCCCCTGTCCGAAGGCCCCGGCAGCGAGGAGGGGGACGAGGGCGCGCCCGCGGCCCCCGGGCCGCCAGCGCCGCAGCAGCGCAAGCAGGCGCCGCGCCAGCGCCGCAAGCGGGCGCCTGCCGCGCGCCCGCAGCATGAGGAGGGCGGCGGGGTTGAGGAGGAGCAGGGGCAGCAGCGGGAGCAGCAGCAGGATGCGTCGCGCGCAGGAGAGAGGGACGGCGACGCGCAGGAGTCGGGCGCCGAGCCGCACCTGGCGGCAGCAGCAGCGGCCGCAGCCGCAGCTGCCGCGGCAGCGGCTGCCAGCCAGCAGCCTTGGGCGGGGATGGGGGGAGCCTGCCTGCCGGGGCCGAGCGGCGACGACCCTTCGATGGCAGCTGCGGCGGCGGCGGCGGCGGCGGCCGCGGCGGCGGGCAGCGACCCGTATGCCTCATACCGCCAGCTCACTGCCATGCTGGATCCCCTGGGGGCGTATGCCGCTATGGCGGGCGGGGGCGGCGGGGCGGCAGCTGCTGCAGCGGCGGCGGCGGCGGCAGCGGCGGCGGCAGCGGGATGGCAGGGAGTGGGCGCTGGGTACCCTTTCGCCGGCATGGGCGGGTTCGGGCAGTCGCCATACGGGCTGCCGAGCTTCGGGCCTGGGATGGAGTCGGCGGCCGCTGCTGCTGCTGCTGCCGCGGCCGCTGCCGCGGCGGGGCAGCAGCACGCAGCGCACGGCGGCCACAGCGGCGGCCGCTCGGCAGGGGGAGGCGGTCCCGAGCGGCGCCACAGCGGCGGCAGCGGCAGCGGCGGGGTGTACGCACCCGTTGCGAGCGTGGGGGCCGTGGCCCTGCCAGACAGCAGTGGTGCTGACCAGCCCTCGGGCTCGGAGCTCCGCGGACGGCAGCGGCAGCATCAGCAGCAGCAGCAGCAGCACCGTGAGGTCGAGCGCCAGCGGCACGGCGCCGGGCGCTCCGGGGCGCCAGGGTCCCCCGCCACGTCGCTAGGGCAGGCGGGCGGCGCAGAGCCCGACGGGAGCTCGGGCGGCAGGAGGGTGCGGCCCAAAGTGGAGGGGGGCGCGCATGCGTCCGGGGCGGCAGCGTCAGCGGGGCGGGTCGGGGACCCGACGCCTTTGCAGGACGGGCTGCATCCGGTCGAGGCGATCCATGTTGACAGCACCCTCGCGCAGCAGCAGCAGCAGCAGCAGCAGCAGCCACTGCCGCGGTCAGACCTGCATGAAGCGGCTGCTGATCAGCAACAGCAGCAGCAGCAGCAGCAGCAGGCAGAGCCGACGGCCTCCGAGCAGCAGCGGCTCAGCACGACCGACGCGCTCAACAGCCTCGTGGCCGCCGCCACCAATGGCGGCGCCGCCATGGACCGCTGGCTGCAGCAGGCGGCGCAGCAGCAGTGGGGCGCGAGCATCGCGGCTGCCGCAGCGGCGGCGGCGGTGTCGGCGCCGTCGGACAGCAGCCTGGTGCCGCTGCAGCAGGCGGCGGCGGCGGCTGCGCTACAGGCGCAGGTGCAGCAGGCGCAGGCGGCGGCGCAAGCCCAAGCGCAAGCGCAAGCCCAGGCAGCCGCTCAGGCGCAGGCAGCGGCCCAGGCGCAGGCGCAGGCGCAGGCGCAGGCGGCTGCATTGGCTGGGCAGGCGCTTTCCGGCTGGGGCAGCGGCGGGCAGGCGGCTATTGCATATTGGCAGCAGCTGATGCCGTACCTGCAGCAACAGCAGGCGCCGCAACAGCAGCAGCAGCAGCAGCAGCAGGCTCAGGATGCGGCCATGGGCTGGCTGGCGCAAGCAGCAGCGTCTGGGTTTTCGCCTCGGTGAGTCCTGCGCTGCGCGGCAAGCAAGCCTGGCGCCTGCCTGTGGGGAAGCGCGTGCCAACAACGCTTTGCTTAGGCAGTGAGGCGTTGTGTGGGGCAGTGGGTGGGGGAGGGGTCCCCATGCACAGCAGTCTGCATGCTTGCACGCATTTGCTCGGCGCGGCGGCCACACCATACCTTCGCACGCGGCGCCCCCGGCCCTGCCGCATCGCAGGCCCTCCTGGCCCGGCGCCTGGCCCGGGGTCAGCTCACTGGACCCCACAGCTGTTGCGCTGGGGGCGCTGGTGGCGCACGTCATGCAGCAGGCGCAGCTGCCACCCTCGCAGCAGGCGTCGCAGCAGCAGGCCGCGCCGCAGCCCGCGGCGCCGCTGCCGCAGCCGCAGCCGCAGCCGGCGCCCTCGTCGCCGCTGCAGCCGGGGGCGGCGCAGCAGCAGCAGCAGCAGCAGCAGCAGCAGCAGCAGCAGCAGCAGCAGCAGCAGCAGCACGCTCTGTTGCAGAACGCGCTACGCGGGGGAACAGCCGCGGAAGGGGGTGCGCCCGCGAGTTGGTGGGTGCCTAGCGACCGGCCCGGCCCCAGCAACGGCGCAGCGGCGGAGCCGCCAAGCGCACCCCAAGGACCCGCCCCCGCCCCCTGGCCAGCCGCGTGGCCCGACCCCTGGGCGGGCCAGCTGCCGCCAGGCGGCGCCGGCGGCGGCCCGGACGCGTCCGCAGCGGCGGCGGCTGCGGCCGCCGCGGCGGCTTTCGCCGCATCCCAGTACGCGCCGGGCGGCGCTGCCGGGGCGTACGGCGGCGGCATGGGGGCTCTGGCGGCGAGCATGGGCATGATGATGGACCCGGCAGCACTGCTGAATGCGTCTGCGGGCTTGTCAGCTTTCGGGTATGGCAGCATTCCCGGCGCAGCAGCCGCGGCAGCCGCAGCCGCCGCTGCCGCCGCGGCGGCCGCGCACGAATCGGGGGGCGGTGGCGGAGGCGGCGTCGCGGGCGGCGGGACGTTCCGCGTGCCGCGGCCGAAGCCCAGCGGCTTGTCTGGGGGCAGCAGCATTGGCACGGGGACGCCGGGGCGCTGACGCGGGGCGCCGCCCTCTGAATGGGCTGCGAGCCTGGTGTCAAGGCGTGCACGGTCACGTGGCGTGCCAGGCAGATTGGCGGCGACATGGGTCTATGCGTTGGGCACCCCCCTTGCCTGCTTGAGCGGACGGTTGGTAGCACCAGCACCAGCCGGGCCGCGGCGCCTGGGAGCGCGGCAGCGGGGCCGTTCGCCGCCGCTCGCGGGCGGCTTCGCGCGCGGCCCCGTGCTGTGCGGCCTCCCCTAGATCGTGGAGGCCGGCAGCCGCGCGTCCTGCCCTCTGCGAGCCGCCTTTGCGGCGCCACCGGCGGTCGGCAGTGAAAGCCGGGGGGGCGAGACTGCCAGGACACACCCGCAGAGGCCAGGGGCCGGCAGCGCGTGCGCCTTTCCCTCCCCGCCGTGCGCGGCTCCCGCGTTGTGCTACGGCCACCTTTGGTCGTTGCTCCGCCTTTGCAGCATACACTGAGCATTGTTTTGGGCCTTGGGTGGCGCGTGTCAAAGGACATGCCTGGTCGTGTGTTGCCACCCACGGCTGCATGCAGCATTATGCATCCCCCCACACACACTCTCATGCACACACAAAAACGCCAACACACAAAAGCAAGGACAAGGAGCCAGCCAAGCCCTTGCCTGCGCGCCCGATCAATGGTGTGTGGGGAGCGCAGCTCGGCCGCAGCCGCCGGCGTCGCCCGTCCGCGCCAAACCGCAGGCTCCCGGCGGGCGCCCCGCTTTTTCGCGCCATTCGAGCTCCTTGCCACAGCCCACCTCACCCCCGAGGCTGCGACCGAGCGCGCGCCTGCCGCTGGTGGGTTGACTTCTTTACCTCTCTGTCTGCACCCTCACTTGGCGCTTCGGCTGCTGTGTTTGGTTCGCAGCCTGCGGGCGCGACCTGGCTGCACTGTGACGTTATGCCGCCGTGTTGATCTCCATCTGCGCTGATCGACTGGGCCTGTTCAACTTCTCAGGCTTGCCCAACAGGACCTGATATCATTTTTTTTGGCTCGAGTTTGTAATACGCGGGTTATGGCGGTATCACAAGGACCTTCTCTCAAGTGCGGGCTGGGTTTCGTCCTTGACTGTTGATGGACTGAGCTGATGAGTGTTGTGTTCCCCCCACCCACAAGAAGGTGCAGTTTGACCGGGTTGACCAGCATGAGAGCACGCCACGCCATCAACCCCTTTCCGCAATTCAATCTGCGAATCCACACTGTCAGTGTTGCAGCCCCACGATGGCGTCAAATTTGCAGGATACGTCGGTGCAGCCGATCACAGGACGTCATCAGTCACCTGGGACGCCTGGCTGTGTACGCCCGGCCGTGCGCGCCCGCAGTACGGTGCTCGTAAGCGATGCATTTAATTGCGTTCGTACACAAAAACACTGCGACTCCTCGTCCCGCGTCTTGTTATACACCGCGTGGCGCCTCTCCACATGGCTGTTTGGGTACGCAAAGCCTCACCACATCGTTGTGACGTCTGCCAACCCGCGAGTGTCCTTGGTTTACATCGCCGCAATAATTCAGTATCCAAGGTTCCCGGCAGCTGCATAGCGCTGGAAAACCTCCCAGCCCTACCGCGCGAAACCCACTCAAGATGAGCAAGGACGTGGATTACAGCGACGGCAAGCTTGCCGACGCTGAAGGTGAGTCACATGTTGAAGAGCACATATGTGATGGCCTGGTTGCTTGCGCGGGTCTCTCGCCCGTAGTCCGCGTGGGTGACGCTCGAGCCAAGCCGCCGCCACTATGACATGTGACAAGCCCCGACGCGTTTCGTTCCTTGCCGCCCTGCCTCTAAAGCGGCGCTTCCCCAAGCCCCAGCAGCATCCAGCCGGTAGCCGCTAGCCTGACGCTCACAAAAACTGCCGGTTCCCGTCGCACCGCAGCCCTGGTGCAGGGCGTCGACACCGGCGATGATCTGGACCAGCACCCCGGGCATGGCGCCCCTGCTTCTGAGGTCTCCCAGTCGCCGCTGTGGAAGAAGCTCATCTGGGAGGGCGGCTTCCCCTTGGACGGCTTCCTGACGGCGGCGTCGGCGCAGGTGCGCGGGGGGCCCCTGCACGCCCCTCACCAGGGCCCGTCACCCGGCGTGCCGACGCGTCACCCGGGCCCGAGGGCCGCCTCGCGCCTGCTTCGCGAAAGCTGCCCTCGCGGCCGGCAGGCGCAAGAGCGGGATGCCTCGGCTCGCCCAACGACGCGCCAGGCCCCGCCCCCAAAAGCAGCTCTCCGGCCCTGCAGACGAATCTGTCACTGTCGAGCCCCTGCTGCGCCCGACGCAAGCCTTTCGTCATCCTTTGCCGCCGCCACCAGTCCGCACCTCACCACACCTCGCACTCTGCAGCAGTCCCTTTGAATCCCTGCTGCATCGCCTGCCCAGACCGCCCTCAGTCCTTTGTCCCCTGACAATCAAAACAGCGACGCACAGCTCGGCGCGCGCAATCCGATCAGTCAACTAAACTCAGGCACTGCTACTCCCCCCACCGGCCCCATGCCCCTCACAAAAAATGTTGCTGACATCACCAGGTCGGACAGGTGCGTAACGGGGCCAGAGCGTCTGTCCTTACTGCAATCTGGGCCGCGCAAACCACGTTGCTTTTATCGCTGCGCGCTGGAGAGGGTGCGCCGCTGGTGCCTGCCGACCAAGGCACAAGGCCCTGTCGGCGGACTCGCGCTCCTCTTGGATGATATGCCCACGCTTCCTCCTCGCCTGTCTGCACTCACCCACCCACCCAACTCCTCTCCTCGTGAATTGCATATCTTGATATTCAAAGGTCATCCTCAACTTGCCCAACAGGTGGGCGTGGCTGACTTGCAGGGTTTGGTTTGCACATACCCAAGATGAACTTGTGGCTGGCCTTATCTTATTCTGCACATAAATCGTCATGCTGCCTTGGTGCGCCTCCGCCTCGGATATGCATTCGCATCCTGGGGACCCCCAGCCCCACCCCGCCCCCTCTCGCACACCGTGCTGCGCCCCGCGTCCCCGAAACAGTATGGCCAAGCTCTCCCTGGTGGGGGGCATATTCACCCAAGTGGGGTGCGCCGCGTTTGCGGTCTACACCCTCTTCCTGCTGGTGGCGCTGTACCACGAATACAAGAGGGACGAGGTGGGCGGAATCCACCGATGCGGGTGCAACGTAGGGCGTCGCCGGGCGTGCTGCGCGCACCAGCCGCATGCTTTTCCCCCAAGAAATTTCTGCTGAGCTGACTCACCAAAAGATTCTCACTCGTACCCCAAATCAAGCAAACCCAACATGTGCCGTATTTGCAACGATAGCTGTTCCAGTTGCGCTGACCTTGAAAGAGCTGTGTCATGCCAGCGCACGCCTCAAATCACACGCCTCGCCCTGACTTGTGTGATTGGCCCAGCTGCCGGCACCTGGAGGTCCCCTCTCCCTCGTTGGAGCGCACACTCCCACCTTTCCAGTGGATTGCGGAGTCCCAACCCCGCGATCGTTCGTGCCCGCGCGTGTCGACAGGTGCGCAAGGGCACGTGGTACAACAACGGTGGCAAGACCCGCACGCGCGTGACCCAGTACCACTCTATTATCACCAACGTCACCGGCTTGCGGTGGCTCGGAGAGTTCGCGCGGGTGAGTGGGCTGTAGGCTTTGCGGCATGTGTCCGGCTAGGAATGGCAAGCTGTGCAGCAGGCGTGATTTTGGTTGAACAGGCGTGATTATGGTTGACCAGCCGGAAACGCGGTAGGGTGCCTTGCGGCACGGCTGCAAGCCCAACCCGTGTTTTGTTGGCCCCTGCCCACCTGCATCATACTGAAGGGTATTCGCTGTGTCAGTGCAGTGGCCTGAGGGTTGCTGGATCAGATACGATTATGACAGCTGGGGTTTGAACCGATCACCGTCAGCCGGGCAATGCTAGGTGGCTAGGGCTAGCTGCTATTGCTGCATCTCATCCACTCAGACAGCTCATTGTTTTGCATATCGACCCGATACCGGTGCTCGACCCATCCCGCCACGGCGCCAGATCGTCAACATCGTGGAGCTGGTGGGCCTGGGTGTGGCCCAGATCATTGCGTCTGCCTCCAACTTCTACTCCCTGGGGACAGGCCTCTCCAAGCGCGGTGAGCGGCCCGGCGGTGGCGTCCTGCACATTTCCCGAGGCGTGGCAACGCATGATCAAGATCACACTGTGCAGACAGCAGAGGCTGCTGCGGCCGCAGCCAGCACGGTCGGGAGCAGCTTGCCGGCGCAAGACGCCGTGGCCGCCAGGACTGGTGCGAGGCGCGCGGTCGTCGTCAGTTTGCAGCGCTCACCTGCCCCAGCTCCGCTCCTGACGTGCTGGCCCCCCTTCCCAACCTCTGCCTCACGCGCGCACCATCCCCAGACTACACTTTCATCTTTGGCGCCCTGGCCCTGCTGACGACGCTCATCCCGAGCTTCAGGTGCGGCGGCAGCACGCACACGACCCGCGCAGCACACCAGCGACGCCGCAACCTAGCAGGCTCTGTTGACAATCACCACAGCGCTCGCGGTCGAAGCGGCCGCACGCCGTCCTCAGCCCCGCTGGACGTTCCGCACCTCACCTCGCCCGTCATCACCTCCCCACTGCCTTGCGAGCGCCACCCATTTGAAGACATACGCACACGCACAGCATGCGCGTGCGTGATCACAGACACTCACACGCACATACACACACATACACGTGTGTGTTGCCAACATTCTCGGCCTCTTAAAAACCATCCGCCCTTAAGACACGCGCTTTGAACGCGCACGCGACCCTCCCCTGGCTCCCACTCTCCCCAGGAACATGCGCCTGTTCAGCCTCCTCGCGCTGATCGGGACCACCTACACCTCCTGGTACATGATGGCCGAGTCCTGGAAGCACGGCCTGAACGCGGCGGCCGCCACGCAGCCGCCGCTGGGCCTGGACGCCTTCTTCCAGGGCTTCTCCAACATCGTATTCACGTTCGGTGGCCACTGCATGATCATGTGAGGAGCCCGAGCCGTTCGCGCGGCGCGCGCGCTGGCTGGGCGCGCGCCCCCGGCGTGAGGCCCTTGACAGCGCATGCGCCCCCGATTAGCTGGGGGTTATCACCATTTGCTCAGAGCCATCCGAGCGCCCGGCCCCTCGACTTGGCCGCGCGAGCAGGCTGGCCCGCCGCCAGGGCCTGTGTGGTGCCTCTCGGGATTCTCAGGGGAGGTCAAGAGGGTGTTGCCTGCCGGGGTCCCGCCTGGGCCCGCTAATATTCAGTCTTGTACCAAAGGCTGAGGCACAACATGACGCCCCCTCCCCTGCACATGCACCGGCATGTGTTCGCAGGGAGCTGGTTGACTCCCAGTTCCGCCCCAGGTGCGCAGCAGTCCCCTGAGTGTGTGTGTGTGTGTGTGTGTGTGTGTGTGTGTGTGTGTGCGCGCGTGTGTGCGCGTGCATTCGAGCGTATATGCAAGTTCGCGTGTGCGCGCGGGCGTATGTCCGTGCAGACGCATGTGTGTGTGTGTGTGTGTGTATGTGTGTGGAATAGCGTGTGTGTACGTTGCGTGGTCCGCGGGGAGGTGCAGATGAGCCAGTGCCAATCGTGCTCGTCGCTTGGCTGGCCAGCCGGCCCCCTGGGCCCCCAAGAGCGCGGTTCCGACCTGCCCCCAGCCCACAGACGTCGCCCCCTCTCCCCACATACGCCCCCCCCCTTCCCCACCTCGTCCCAAAACGCAGCAAGTTCTCCAAGACCTTCGCCACCGCCCTGACGTACGTCACCCTGACCCTCACCCTGCCCAACGCCCTGTTCACCTTCCTGGCCTTCCCCGCGGAGGTGGGCCGCTTTCAGGGTTTAGGGTTTAGGGGTCAGGGTACGCACGCCCGCACGGGCCCTGCACGCCACGCACACCAAGTTCACCGCATACACCACCACACACGCGCATCCGCCCTCCCTGGGGCGCGCTGTGGTGGCAGACGTGACGCGCCGCGGCGCTGCACGCACGGCGTGGCAGCCCGGGGTGCTCGCATGCCCAGGGCCCCGTGGGTCAATGCAGCGAGTTGAGCCGGGGCTCGTGTGATGCGCGCACTGCCTCGCTGCACGCAGCTGCACGGCTGTGGTGCATCTCAACACCGCAGCCATGCACCTGCATGCTCGGGCCTCGAGCAGAAGTTCTCTGGACACCACAGCCCCTGTTTCCGGGACGTCACACTCCCCCATCTGATCCGTCCCCCCACCTGATCCGCCCGCGCCCGTCAGGCCGCCGTCAAGGGCAACGCCTTTGCGATCTTCCCGCCGTCTGCCGCCAAGAACGTGGGCATCGTGCTCATGGTGGCACACCAGCTGGTGGCCTTTGCCCTCTTCCTCCTCCCGGTCAGCATCATGTGGGAGAAGCTGGTCGGAACCCACTACAAGGCCCTCAGATGGAGGCTGTCCTCGCGCATCCCCGTTGGTGGGTGGCCGGGCGGGGCTGGACGCGGGGCCCGAGCCGCGCAGTGATGCAGGGCCCAGCTGCAGTTGCTGCTGCTTGGGATGGTCGAAAGAAAGGGCTTATGACCCCCACAGCACAGTGCAAGCAGAGCCAGCCTTTGGACTGCCTGCTCGCACAACAGATGCGCCCATAACGGCCGCCGTCGCGCCTCTCGCCACGCCGGGGACCCGGCCAGTGCCCGGCCAGCACTCTGCCCCGCCCCCCTGCTATTCTCTCAATCAACGCCATAAATCCATCCCTCCCCCCTCTGCTGCGCCGCCAGGCCTCTTTGTGTGGTTCATCGCCCTGATGCTGCCCTTCTTCGGAGTCATTAACGATCTCCTGGGCGCATTCGCCGGTGAGCCCAGGGCTCAGGCTGCCGGGGCGCTCATGGTCGGGGCGGCCCGAGCCGCGGTTCCTGGACCGCTGCATTAAAGCTTAATTTTCGAGTGGCTTTGGCGCTGGCGCCCCTGCCACTTTGGGCCACACCCTGCGGCCCAGCCCTGCTGCCGCACACACGTGCGCTGGCGCGGCTTGCCACCCGCGCTTGGAATATCTCTGGACTGGCGGGTCTGCGCCAGCTCGCAGCTCCAAGGACCTGAAGTGGCTGCAAGCGGCGCGACACATTGTGCCAACTTTGCACAGCAAAAGCCTCCGGTCGCACCCTCACCCCCCCCTGTCTTTGTCTTGTCCTGCCCTGTCATGGTGACGTCACAGTGACATTTGAGACCTACATCATCCCCTGCGTGGCATGGAGCCTCTACTACCGCACCCAGGAGAGGCGCGACAATGCCATCCTCAAGCCCCCCAGGTGCGGGGTCTGTGAAAGGCGTGACGACAGCTGGGCGGCAACTGCGGTGCCGTGCAGTCGGCTGGGCTTGGCACGCTGTATTGATGGCAATGACTTGGTTTTCTGTGCTCTCGCACTGCACGACAATGCACGAGTAAATCATGCCCGGCGGCGTTCACCGAGGCATTGCACGCGCCTGCATTTGTGCACACGCTGCTGCCTGCAGGTGGCTGGGCGGCTGGACCGGCGCCTTCATCCTCAACGCCTTCATCACCCTCAGCATGGCGGTCGCCGGCCTCGGCTTTGGCGGGTACAGGTGGGTGACGGGCGCCGACAGGTGCCGCATTGTCTTTCGGCCTTTGATGTCAGGCTTTGGAATTAGGCAAAGGCGCACCTGCGAACAAGGGATACAGCACGTCTGAGCCCCGGCCTGCGGTTGCCGCCCGATGAGTACGAGGAGTGTGCGTCCCAGTGGCGAATACGCCTGGGCACCCGCCCCGCAGCCGAGGCGCGGCGCTGCCGCAGTTTGCCAGGGGATTGGGACCATTGGCCAGCCCGTAAATGCTCACTTCCAGCGTTGACTCCCCCTCCCCCTATCGCCTCCCCTCAACCATTTTTTTCCCTCAGCTCTGTTGTGGGCCTGATCGATGCCGTCAGCAGCTTTGGCCTCTTTGCCAAGTGCTACAACTGCTAATGCAGGCGGGCCGACCAGCGGCTGCCACTGGCGCCTGCCGCGCAGCTGCCAGGCGGGCGACGGGGCAGAGGGCGCGGCCGCTGCCTTTCGCAAGGAGGCAACTCATCAAGTATTTCTAAAATTGGCAGGCGGTGGTGCCCCGCCGCCCCAACCAATTGCCACCACCACCCGCCTTCAGCCTCGCTCAATCTGCCTTTCTCTTGACGATGAAATGAACCAAATGGGAGTTTGCTGCCTTTGGCTTTGCCAACGTGCGCTGATGACAGTGCACTTTCTGATATGGTGTGCGTTGGCGTTTGCCTGACCGGAGCATCAGATCATGCTGATGTGCAGAGCCCCTGTTGAGCATGTACATGCACTCGTGCACCCACTGCACACGTCGCGCGCAGTGGCGCAGCACGGTTACTCGTGCCGCGCGCAGGGGCGCCCCGCTTTGCGGGCTGGCCCTCTCAGCCTCTTGAGGAACGGCCAGCGCTGCGCCTCTGGGCCCGCATGCGAGAAACCCAAACGTTTGGACTGCAGATGATGGACGCATGCGCGCCCTGCATGTCGCCCGTGTGCTTTGGCTACGCGCTCCGACGGGTAGTGAGCGCAACAGGCGCCGCTGCTGAGCCTGGTTGGGTTTGGGTGGGTGGGGTTGCCGCGATGGCGGCGCCGCACGAATGCAGCATGGCAATAAAATATGACCCCCTACAATGCACTGCGTGCTGAGCTGTATGCTGTCAATTAATACATGTACAATTCTGGCTTCTTTTGTTCTGCTCAAGAGGCTTGCACATGTAAATGCGGAGGCAACCACACTCACAGCCGCCCAACAAAACCTGCCAAGTATCAAGGGGTGCGCCCGAGCCGGACCGCAACCACTAGTCATTCCCGCAGCCCCCCACGCCCCTGCGGCGCGAGCGGCCCCGCCGCAACTGGCAGCACGGGCCGCACGCCCGGCGCCGCGCGGGGGATGGCCATAGGCGGCTCCCCGATGCGGAAGCGGTGCAGGAACGCCGCCAGGTGCTCCGCCGTTTTCTCGGGCTCGTCTTCCTGAATGGCGTGGCCGGCTGTGGGCATAAGCACCAGCTGGAATTTGCCCTGCATCTGGCCGATTGTCAGCTCCCGGTCCAGCCTGTGCGCGCGCGTGTGTGTGTGTTTGTGCGTGTGTGTGTGCGTGTGTGTGTGTTGGGGGGCGGCGCAAGGGCTTCACGCACTGGTGGCAGGATTTTGGTTTCAAGGTGTTCGGTCTTCAGATTGGGAGCATAAAAAGGCGCAAGCCGATGGGGTTGCGCGGCTGTTGAATGGGTGATGCTTGCTGGGACACAAGGGCGCCAGGAAGCATGCAAAACAGCGTTGATTCAAGCGTACTCCAATCTGCATGCGCGCGCGCTCATGCTTGCACGCACGCGCGCACACAAACGCACACGCGCGCACACACACACACACACACACACACACATGCACACACGCCCACTCTCTCTCTCTCACACACGCACACACACACAGACGCACACCTGCACACATGCACACTCTCTCTCACACACGCACGCACACACACACACACACACACACACATGCAC